CCCCCCCAAAGCCACTGGCAGCCCGGCGGGCACTGGCCCCCGAGGGCAATGCCTTCCTGGGGCTGGACGCCGTGCGTGGCACCCCGGTCCGGGTGAGTCCCCGTGGGGTGCGGGTGCTCTCTGCCCTGGGGTGCGGGTCCCTCTCTGACCTGCTGCCCCTTCCCTGCTGCAGTTTGACATCCAGCAAGCTCAGATCTACTGTGATGCTGAACTAGCCAGGCAGGAGGAGTGCTGTGAGATCTCGGCCAGTGGGGTGAGTGTTCCCTGAGCTCCTACCCTGGTCCCGGGTGAGCCCTGGTGTTGATCTGCACTGTCAGGGTTTTTCCCAGAGGGGAAACTGCAGCACATGAGGGCAGGTCTGTTAGCCAGAGCTCCCCTGTGGGTCACCTCCTCTTTATGGTGCTCAGGGATGCAGGGCAGCTCTTCACCAGCGCTGAGACCCTTTATGGTTGGACTCGATGACCTGAAAGGTCTTTTCCAACCAGAATGATTCTGTGCAACATCACTCAGTGCCTGTTCCCGTGGCCAGCACAGGGCACAGTGCAGGATGAATCCCTCTCCCAGATCTCACTGGCTGCTCAGGGAGGGCTGGGGCTCCCAGCTCTCAGCCTGGCAGCCTCCCCATAACCCCCCCCCCTCCCGGCAGTGCCTTGTGGAAGTGCCCAAGACCCGTCGGCAAGCGGAGCTGATGCAGAGCAGCAACCTCATCGAGATCTCCCCGCAGCCCGAGGGCCGCGTCTACACCCGCTGCTTCTGCCTGGAGGAGCCGCTGGGCACGGTGAGCTCCCCCCTCCCGGCACGGGATGCTCCCGGGAGGGGGTGGGCAACATTCCACTGCTGTGCCGGGCGCTGCTGAGCGTGGAGCCACGTTGGTTCAGCCCCTGGAAAAGCCCTGGCTCATATTTTCCACCACGCCAGACGAGGGGAGGGAGGGACGGAGGCGGCAGCAGCTGGGGAGCAAGGGAGGGGAGGGCTCCTGCAGCCCCACTGCACCCCCCGGCTCGGGGCTCAGCCCTGGTGGGTGCCATCCAGGGGTACCCCAGGCAGGATCACCCAGAGGGCATGGGAAATACCGCCCACCACCCCCTGTGCTCTCTCCACAGGAGCCAGTGAGGAATCCAGGGAGAACCAGCCCAAAGAGCGATCATGGGGAGAAGGTGAGGGGAGGTGGGAAAGGGCATCCCAGCCCAGCTGCACCAATCTCAGCATCTCCATCCTCGTGCTGGTGCCACACCAGGGTCCATCCGTGCCCCAGGCTGGGCCTTTCCCTGCTGCACTTGGAGCTTTCTGCTGCTGCCAGAGCTGCAGAAGTGGCTGCTCTGCTCCCCCGAGCAGGAATTGAGGCCCCACTTCACTCTCCGCTGCTGTTGGAGCGATCCCAGACATGGCCAAGGGCCTCTTTGTTCCCTCCGAGTGTCTCTGGAGCACTGCTGGAGCTGGGAAGCATCTCCAGCATGCTCAGTATCCCATCCCTGCATGGCCCCATCCCCCCAGGGCGGCTGTGTCCCTGCTGTGGGATCCTGCTGGGGATCCCCCTGGGGATCCCTGGTGTGCAGACCAGGTCCCAAGGGGTGGCCTGGTGTCCATCAGGGCTTTTTTCCCTACTTGGCTTTTCTTCCCACCCTCTGCTCCATGGCACATCCCTGCAAGGTGACAGGTGCCCTGCTGGGACACCTGAGGGGTGAGGTGTGGGGCTGGGGGATGGGGGAGGAGGAGGGGCTGCACTCAGCCCTATCCTGCCTGGCCTGACTCCCATGGGAAAACGCTGGAGCAGCTGGTTTGGCCCAGGTCCAGGACAATTGGTCACCACCAAGTGGCTGCCACCAAGTGGATGCCACCACCAATTGCTCCTCTCCCCTGCAGTCAATTCACAAAGTCACTGGGTAAGCCCTGTGGGTTTGGGGTACCCAGGGGAGTGGGGCAGTGGGTGCTGTAGGGTTGTGGGTGCAGTGAGGTGGTGCAGTGAGGAGGTGCAAGCCTCCATCCCTCTCTCTTCCAGTGCCCACCCTGCTCGCTGCAGACAGCCTCAGCAAATGTGAGTGTGCCAGTGGGAGGAGATGGGGGACCCTGACCCATCTGTTGGAGCTGGGAGAAGCCACTGGGGTGCTGGCCTGGGGGTGTCACCTGCCACTTGCCATCACTGCCATCTCCCTGTGATATGGGGCCTGGCAACATCTGGCTGTGGGAAAGGTCTCTGGTCCTTTCCAGATGTGGCCATATGCCTATGGCAACCTCTGGCTGCAGGTTTGGGGCTGGTGGTGGGGGATGGTGGATATTTGGGACCCCATGTGTCCCGTGGGTGGCATGTGGGGACAGGGTGATGGGAGGATGGGGACTGCAGCAGGGACAGGGCTCTCTCTTGCTGCCCTTTGGAGGCCAGGTGCCCTTGCAGGGCTCAGGGCACTGCAGGACACCTCTCTGCTCTCTCCCTAGGTCACACTTGGTCCCCCAGGTCCAAAGGTAGGTTTGTGACCTCTCGGGACATGCAGAGCCCAGCTCCACAGGGATGTGGCCATGCAGATCCTCAGCTGTGTCTGGAGCATCCCTGCCTGGGAGCCGTGGGCACAGGTGTGGACATGGGGACACCCATACCCCATCTTTTCACCCACATCTCTCTTCCCTTGCAGGGTGGGAAGGGGGAGCGGGGCCTGCCCGGCACTGCTGGCAGCAAGGGGGAGAAAGGCGAGCGTGTGAGTGTCCCCACCATGTCCCCAGCAGGGACCCTCTGCCCTGAGGGGGTTCCCAGCACTTGGGGATCCCATTGCCCTGGGCAGTGTTCCTATCCCCCCCATGCCCAGCTCGAGCAGAGCCCCTGAGCTGCCTCTCCCCTCCTGCAGGGTGCTGACTGTGTGCGCTCCCACCCTGGTGCTCCTGTGCAGGTGAGACCCCCACCCCCTGCCCTTGGCATGTCCCTCATCCTGGCTTTGCCACCCCCCCTTACCCTCTCCCTCTTCCCCAGTGTGCCGAGGGGCCGCGGGGCGAGAAGGGGCAGCGTGGAGAGGGGGTAAGTGATGCTCAGGGGTGATGCTGCAGCTTGGGGAGCTGGTGGTGCCCCC